CCCCCCAGCACGCGACGTTGCAACAGGCGCTGCGAATTTACTACGCCAAGTGGACCTAGAGGAGACCCAGGCCAGTAACATCACACGTGTCTCACCGCCTTTGTAATGTCCTCCCACAACCTCCCATTGACCTGGTTTCCCTGTTGCTGCTGCGACTGGCACGAGCCACTTTACATTGTATGCCGAATGGACCTAGAGGGGGGCCAGGAAAACCAATTATGGATGCGGTGGTGATGATGATGATGATGGGGCCGCAGGTCATAATGATTGTTCATGGAGGCAATGATTTATGGACTTGGCCAGGAATGCACAATTCGTTTCTAACGTAATTTTAAACATTCGACATCATCATCATCGACGAGACCCTGACGCACAAAGACAAAGATCTCTCGTATGAAGGCTGGCACGGTACACGAAGGGGATGGAGGGGGGGGGGGGTGACCAACACCACGCCCGGCCGCCTTTGTCTCCCCAGTGCTGGTGTTTTACACACCGCACCAGGTACTCATTTGAGGCTGAGTCGACATAGGGGAGGCCCACTTGGCGTTGGCCGTGAGCGGGAATCGAACTCGGCTCGCCGGGTTCGTAGTGCTAACCGCTACACCACCGCTCCCCACGCACTCACACACAGGCACGCTCATGACCCACGTGGCTTTGGTGATCCCTGGGGGGGGGGGGGGGGGGTTCGTGTTTTTTTGTTATTTTGTGTTTTCCGTTTTTTTCCCGATCGTCCCCCAGTAACGCGGACAGCTTCATCCAAACACCGAGGCCTGCACGTCTGAATGGAAAGTGCTTTTTGACAACTTAGTGAGGGAGCGGGGCGACACGAGAGACAAAGATAAAGATCCCCCATGTTCGTCTTTGACAGACTGTTGGGGCAAGTGCTGTCAGCGAGTAGCACCTATGACGGCGGTGGTGGGTGGCCAGCCACAAGCCAGGCCCGCCTTTGTCTCCATCATTTGCGATGTTTTACACACCGCACCAGGTACTCATTTGAGGCTGAGTCGACCTAGCGGAGGCCCATGACCGGTTGAGATAATCGTCACTGGGGTTGGCCGTGAGTGGGATTCGGGTCGCTGGGTTCGTAGCGCAGCGCGCTAACCGCTGTGCCACCGCTCCTCATACATACACGAGTACACATATGTACTCACATATACACACAAGCATACCCACATACATTTAGACACACATGTAGACGTAAACAAGCATATTCATAAATAAATATAAGCGCAATGACACATACATGTCATAGATACACATACTTCCAAGCACTCATACACCTACATAAATACACCTACATATACACACACACTCACAAATACACACAGACACACTCACAAATACACACACTCACAAATACACACACACACACACAAATACACATATACAGATACACGCTGGCAAATACATACACACTCACAAATACACACACACTCACAAATACACACACTCACAAATACGCATATACAGATACACGCTGGCAAATACATACTCCCTCACAAATACACACACGCCTACATATACACACACGCCTACATATACATATCCACACACTCACAAATACACACACTTACACACACTCACAAATACACACACTGACACACACCCACAAATACACACACTGACACACACCCACAAATACACACACTGACACACGCACTCACAAATACACATACTGACACACAAACACAAATACACACACACACACCCACAAATACACACACTGACACACACCCACAAATACACACACTGACACACGCACTCACAAATACACATACTGACACACAAACACAAATACACACACACACACTCACAAATGCACACACTGACACACACCCACAAATACACACACTGACACACACCCACAAATACACACACTGACACACGCACTCACAAATACACACTCTGACACACAAACACAAATACACGCACACACACTCACAAATACACACACTGACACACACCCACAAATACACACACTGACACACACACACGCACTCGCACGCACTTTCACACGCGGTGACGCGGCACTCCGTGGGGTCAGTGGCTGTGGGTTGACGGGTTCGCGTCGGGGTGAGGGTTACAGCGCCGTCACATCACCACGGGCGCACGGCAAGCAGAGACGTTGACCACGACGACGACGATGACGACGATGATGGCGATGGGTGCAGGAGTGAGTGAGGTGGGGGGGGGGGCGAGTGGAGGGAGTGGTGATTGCGTCAATACACGCACACACACACACACACGGGTGTGCGCTCTACAGATGGTGTGATGAAGGTGTTGGTGCTCGGTGTGATGGTGACATGGTGTTCGTGTGATGGGTGCGACGGTGTTAGTGTGATGGGTGTGAGTGCTGGGTGTGACGGTGCTGGGTGTGAGGGTGTGCTGGGTGATGGGGCTGGGTGATGGGGCTGGGTGATGGTGCTGGGTGATGGTGCTGGGTGATGGTGTTTGGTGATTGGGCTGGGTGATGGGGCTGGGTGATGGGGCTGGGTGATGGTGTTTGGTGATGGGGCTGGGTGATGGGGCTGGGTGATGGGGCTGGGTGATGGTGTTTGGTGATGGGGCTGGGTGATGGTGTTGGGTGATGGGGCTGGGTGATGGTGATGGGTGATGGGGCTGGGTGATGGTGTTTGGTGATTGGGCTGGGTGATGGGGCTGGGTGATGGGGCTGGGTGATGGTGTTTGGTGATGGGGCTGGGTGATGGTGTTGGGTGATGGGGCTGGGTGATGGTGATGGGTGATGGGGCTGGGTGATGGTGTTTGGTGATTGGGCTGGGTGATGGGGCTGGGTGATGGGGCTGGGTGATGGGGCTGGGTGATGGTGTTGAGTGATGGGGCTGGGTGATGGGGCTGGGTGATGGGGCTGGGTGATGGTGATGGGTGATGGGGCTGGGTGATGGGTGATGGGGCTGGGTGATGGGGCTGAGTGATGGTGTTAGGTGATGGGGCTGGGTGATGGGGCTGGGTAATTGGGCTGGGTGATGGTGATGGGTGATGGGGCTGGGTGATGGTGTTGGGGCTGGGTGATGGGGCTGGGTGATGGTGTTGGGTGATGGGGCTGGGTGATGGGGCTGGGTGATGGGGCTGGGTGATTGGGCTGGGTGATGGGGCTGGGTGATGGGGCTGGGTGATGGGGCTGGGTGATGGTGCTGGGTGATGGGGCTGGGTGATGGGGCTGGGTGATGGGGCTGGGTGATGGTGTTGGGTGATGGGGCTGGGTGATGGGGCTGGGTGATGGAGCTGGGTGATGGTGATGGGTGATGGGGCTGGGTGATTGGGCTGGGTGATGGGGCTGGGTGATGGGGCTGGGTGATGGTGCTGGGTGATGGGGCTGGGTGATGGGGCTGGGTGATGGGGCTGGGTGATGGTGTTGGGTGATGGGGCTGGGTGATGGGGCTGGGTGATGGGGCTGGGTGATGGGGCTGGGTGATGGGGCTGGGTGATGGGGCTGGGTGATGGGGCTGGGTGATGGGGCTGGGTGATTGTGTTTGGTGATTGGGCTGGGTGATGGTGTTTGGTGATGGGGCTGGGTGATGGTGTTGGGTGATGGGGCTGGGTGATGGTGATGGGTGATGGGGCTGGGTGATGGGGCTGGGTGATGGTGTTGGGTGATGGGGCTGGGTGATGGTGTTTGGTGATGGGGCTGGGTGATGGTGTTGGGTGATGGGGCTGGGTGATGGTGATGGGTGATGGGGCTGGGTGATGGTGTTTGGTGATTGGGCTGGGTGATGGGGCTGGGTGATGGGGCTGGGTGATGGGGCTGGGTGATGGTGTTGAGTGATGGGGCTGGGTGATGGGGCTGGGTGATGGGGCTGGGTGATGGTGATGGGTGATGGGGCTGGGTGATGGGTGATGGGGCTGGGTGATGGGGCTGGGTGATGGTGTTAGGTGATGGGGCTGGGTGATGGGGCTGGGTGATTGGGCTGGGTGATGGTGATGGGTGATGGGGCTGGGTGATGGTGTTGGGGCTGGGTGATGGGGCTGGGTGATGGTGTTGGGTGATGGGGCTGGGTGATGGGGCTGGGTGATGGGGCTGGGTGATTGGGCTGGGTGATGGGGCTGGGTGATGGGGCTGGGTGATGGGGCTGGGTGATGGGGCTGGGTGATGGGGCTGGGTGATGGTGTTGGGTGATGGGGCTGGGTGATGGGGCTGGGTGATGGAGCTGGGTGATGGTGATGGGTGATGGGGCTGGGTGATTGGGCTGGGTGATGGGGCTGGGTGATGGGGCTGGGTGATGGGGCTGGGTGATGGTGCTGGGTGATGGGGCTGGGTGATGGGGCTGGGTGATGGGGCTGGGTGATGGTGTTGGGTGATGGGGCTGGGTGATGGGGCTGGGTGATGGGGCAGGGTGATGGGGCTGGGTGATGGTGATGAGTGATGGGGCTGGGTGATTGGGCTGGGTGATGGGGCTGGGTGATGGGGCTGGGTGATGGGGCTGGGTGATGGTGCTGGGTGATGGGGCTGGGTGATGGTGTTGGGTGATGGGGCTGGGTGATGGGGCTGGGTGATGGGGCTGGGTGATGGGGCTGGGTGATGGGGCTGGGTGATTGGGCTGGGTGATGGGGCTGGGTGATGGGGCTGGGTGATGGTGTTGGGTGATGGGGCTGGGTGATGGGGCTGGTTGATCGGGCTGGGTGATTGGGCTGGGTGATGGGGCTGGGTGATGGGGCTGGGTGATGGGGCTGGGTGATGGGGCTGGTTGATCGGGCTGGGTGATTGGGCTGGGTGATGGGGCTGGGTGATGGGGCTGGGTGATGGGGCTGGGTGATGGGGCTGGGTGATGGTGCTGGGTGATGGGGCTGGGTGATGGGGCTGGGTGATGGTGTTTGGTGATGGGGCTGGGTGATGGGGCTGGGTGATGGGGCTGGGTGATGGGGCTGGGTGATGGGACTGGGTGATTGTGCTGGGTGATAGGGCTGGGTGATGTAGCTGGGTGATGTGGCTGGGTGATGGGGCTGGGTGATGGTGTTGGGTGATGGGGCTGGGTGATGGGGCTGGGTGATGGGGCTGGGTGATTGGGCTGGGTGATGGGGCTGGGTGATGGTGACTTGGACACCACGGGTGCTGTCTGAGCGAGCGCCAGGACACGAAACTCAAGATCCGTGACTCCGCCGCTCCACTGACACCGCCCTGCGACACACACAGACACAGACAAAGGTCCACCATGTAGCCTTAACAGACTGTAGGGGCAAGTGCTGTTGGCGAGTAGCACCTATGAAGCCCGGCACGTCACACGAGGGGGTGGGTGGCCAGCACCATGCTCGGCCGCCTTTGTCTCCCCAGTGCTAGTGTGTTACACACCGTGCCAGGTACTCTCTTGAGGCTGAGTCGACCTAGGGGAGGCCCAGGGCCGGTTAAAATATTCACCACTGTTATTTGTCGTGAGCGGGAATCGAACTCAGGTCGCCCAGGTACGCATCAACGCACGCGTTAACACAAACACAGCCTCCGTTCACCACCGAGTAACGGTGGACATCACAGCAGCGCGTATGCCAGGCTAGGTGCACACGGAGGCCATGCGAAGACCCAGGTGTTCTTACCACAACCAAACACACCATCACCATCATCGTCACAACCACAATAAATGCAATCATCATTACAATCACAATAAACCACATCATCATCACCACACTATCACCATAACCATTATGATCATAAGCACCATGACGCTGTCGCCTCGACAGACCTGGCTTTCACCTGAGGACGGCTGCTTGCGTTGTGGCCGAAACGTCGTGAGAATAATTTTATTATGTTGTTTTTTTATTACTTCCCTTCTACGTGACTTTACCGAAAGAACCAAGAAGATGAATCCCTGCAGTCACGAAAGTTTTAAATCGAAAAATTATCATTGTAGTTATTATGGTGACCACAATCACCATCATCCTCCCTATCATCACCATCATCATCATCACCATCATCATCACCATCATCATCATCACCATCATCATCATCACCAACATCATCACCACCATCACCATCATCATTACCATCATCATCACCATCATCACCATCATCATCATCACCATCATCATCACCATCATCATCACCAACATCATCACCACCATCATCATCACCACCATCACCACCATCACCACCATCATCATCACCATCATCATCACCAACAACATCATCCCTATCATTATCATCCAGGTGGTGCCACCTGCCGCAGCTGCCTCCTTTTGACTGCTAGGGCTGGTGTAAGGCCAGTAGCAGCGGCAGTGGTGGTTGTTGTTGATTGGTGGTGGTTGGTGATGGTTGTAGTTGTTGGTGATGGTTGGTGGTGGTAGTAGTTGGTGGTGGTAGTTGTTGGTGGTGGTTGGTAGTTGGTGGTTGGTGGTGATTGTTGTTGTTCGTTGGTGGTGGTTGGTGATTGTTGGTTGGTGGTGGTCGTTGTTGCAGGGGTTTTGGTTGGTGGTGGTTGTTGTTGGCTGTTGGTGGTAGTTTTTTTATTGTTGTTGGCTGGGTGGTGCTTGGCAGTGGTGGTGCGGTGGTGGGGCGAGCGAGCGAGCGGGCGGGCGGCGAGGTTGCGAGCCACATCTTCTTCTCATTTTGGATTTCGAAATGAAAGGAGCTGCACCTGAGTGAAGCGGAGAGAGAGAGAGAGAGGTGGGGTAGTGGTGGTGGGGTGGTTGTCCGGGGCCCGTAAGCCGCGGTGGAATGCGCGATCACTCGGCGGTTAATGCGACAAAGATGCAGCTCCGTGCATCCGTGGCGCCGGGGCACGTGGCCACGCGAGGCCACGTGCCAGCCTCAAAGAGCCGTCGCTGGATTCACGCTCAATCGATTTTGTGAATATGTGTGTCTGTTCGAAATGTTTAGCAAACTTCCCAACATGCAACAAACTTTAAATTTGGCATGTGGGTAGTTTCCAGACGGTACACAATGCAAAAAGTATAAAAATAGACTTTTGTATTTTGGGGGGGGGGGGGGAGGGGCGAAATAGTGGATATATTAAATTTCGATTTAAAGCTTTCGTGACTGCAGGGATTCATTTTCTTGGTTCTTTCGGTAAAGTCACGTAGAAGGGAAATAATAAAATAATACAAATACAAATAAATAAATTAGTATTTTTTACTTTATTATGTTTTATTTTAATTATTTTACTATTTCCCTTCTACATGACTTTGCCGAAAGAACCAAGAAGTGGATATCTTTTGCACGGCAAGTGAGCGGTGACGTCATATCTGTGATGTCACCCGCATGCGGCAGCGTTACGCAGTGTGCCTGCTGACGTCACGCCCCCCCCAACCCACCGCGTAGGGCGTGCGTTAATCCAAAACAAGAATCCAAGTCTCGGGCGAAGCCGGGTAGTAAAGCTAGTGTCATATAAGCAGAAAGCGTAAAGGTATCGCGATGGCAAATTATAATTTTTGTTCGTGTTACTATTTTGATTTTAGCAGGTAATGCCCAATGTGCTATATGTAGCTATTTCTTTCAGGAGCGACCTGGCTATTCACGAATGATAGTTCAACGAAGAGGCTTATCGTGGCCGTGTGGAAATTTGTGGCAGTCAAATACGCTAAACGCGATGCCGATTCTAAACGTGGATGGGGGAAAAAAAACGGAGGACCCGCAGAAAAATCCACGCGACCACGTGGAGAGAGACACCGCAGACCCCAAATACACAGCAGGCGTCAGGGTTGGGATCAAACCCACGGCCTCCTGTAGACCAGCCGATGGAGTTCACATCTCGTCACCGTGTCACTACTGACTCCAGTGCTGCTACTGTCTGTGTGGGGGGACGCTTCCGTGGCGGTGGGGTTAGTGGCGAGCGTCGCGTCGGTGGTTTGCGATCCAGAGGGTTGCAGGGGTTCGATTGCGTCTCCTGGCACAGCGGCAACTGCGCAATTCTATGCTGAACTTCTTCCGCACCGTACGTAGCCAGCCATGCTAATCGGAGGTGCGGGTGAAGGGCAACAAACGAAACGCAAAAAAGCAGTCCTAAAGAAATTAGTTTTTAATCGAGATAATTTTTAAGTTTGAACGCTCCGTTGGTTTCCTAATATTGGAAGAAAAACAATTTAAAGGATGGGGAGGGGGGGGGCGAAGTTCCACCCCCCTCCCCTCCACGAATGCCTCTGTCCACCTGCTGTGTCCACTGGCAGGTCGCGTGGGGTGGAGTACTGCCACCTCTTCCAAGACGTCTGTGCTTGACCAGCGTGGAAGGAGATTCGGAGGCGTGAAATTGCCTCCGAGAAGAAGCTCCTCGGGAGCTCTCTCCTCTAGCGGAGGGGGACCTCCCCTCCCCCCTCACCCTTTCAGCCCCGGCAGTGATGCGAGCCCCAGCGATTGCAGGGGCTGCGCCTTCAGCTTTTGTACGCCTGCTGAACCTCTTTCGCGCCGTACGTAGCCAACGGTGCCCAGCGGAGGTGGACCGACTTGGCTACGGCGTTGGTTGGAGAGTTTCAGGGTCACTGCAGTTTCACAAATTAGCCATGACCTATCAACTGCTAGATGAATGCCCACCACCCGCCCTCCCCCTGCCCCCTCATCTATCAAAAGTCCTGCTAAGCCACAATCCACCCGGTGACTCTTGCACCGGGGGATCTGATCCCGGCGGTCGCTGCGTCTCCTGGTGAGGACGTCTCCCCCGCCGCCTCTCCCGCCGCCTCTCCATTGTGCCTTTCACCGCGAATTCCCCTCGCTCAGCGCGGACAGACGCCTCGAGGCGCGTGCTCTTAGCGAGCGCCTAGTAGGGTCAGCACGACACACGAGTGAGCGGTGTGGGGGGGAGGCAGGTGGGGGTGGTGCGGGGAGTGGTGGCGCAGCGGTTAGTGCGCTGCGCTCCGAATCCGGTGACCCGAGTTCAATTGCCGCTCACGGCCACTAACACCGGTGACGATTATGTGCACCGGTCCTGGGGCCTTCTCCCTTGGATCAGTCGCGCAACGAGGAAATGACACCGCGTCGTGTGACGACCAATCGCCGGACAGATCGACGCTTAATACTAAACAAACGACGTCGTGGTGCACAAGCACAAAGGGGCAAAAACCTCAACACAATCATCAATAACACTGCCTTAAAAAAACGCACACAAGTCTATAACGCTGCGACGTTTCAGCCAATGTTGGTTTTCTACAATCGGTTTTCTACGAATTCTAAAAAAAAACGCAACCCAGTGCCCGGATAATCTTCGGATCACTGCCATCCATCTCGTACAACCCCTTGATTCGGCGTAAACATTCACTCCCCCTCTATAAACGTTTCATCCGTTGCCGCATCCCCGCATCCAACGTCGATGACTTGGTGCGGATGGATCTGTCGCGCGGTGTTTCGCAAGCGCCGCCCCGGCGCGCGCCGCAGCTGCTCTGCAGCGTCGTCGTCGTCGTCGGCTCGTGTCAAAGCGGCCCCTCGCTGCGGAGAGCGGAACGTTTGGGTCTGAGCGGGCCCTCACCTGGCTTCAATAAAGGCTCCGTCTGTCTGCCTGTCTGCCTGTCTACCTGCTTGCCTGCTTGCCTGTCTCCCTAACTGCCTGTCTGTCTGCCTGCTTGCCTGCCTGTCTGTCTGCTTGCCTGCCTGTCTGCCTGCCTGCCTGCCTGTCTGCCTGCTTGCCTGTCTGTCTGCTGCGTGACGGCGCTGACCACAGGTGCAACAGGCGCTGTTTATTTTCGGCCGAGTCCACCTAGGGAGTGCCCCTGGGGATGCGTTCAGACTGCTGCGGCGGGGGCGAGGGACGGCGGGGGGGGGCATCGCGACCAGGAATCCAACCGGTGTGTGCGCCAGGTCCTTAGTGTGGCAGGTGCGCCGCTACCAGATAGCACCGACGTTGCCTGCCCGTCTTATACCCCGCGTCTTCGCCAAGGGCCTTGGGCCCAGTGGTGGCAATTCCACATTGCTATGGTACCGGTCTCTGATCACAACACAGGGGGGGATCGTCAACCTGCGGGGCTCTCTTTTAAAGGGCCGCTGCTTCGTGAGGTCATTGAATAAGGACCCGCGCTCTCGTCGCCACCGCGTGCATTTGGCGGCTTTTGAAATATTGAGTGGTTTTCTTTTTTGACCGAATTTGAAGAAGACGAAAATAACAAACGGCTCTTCTTGATATTTACAACCCCCTGGCGACTTGCCACACAGTGGCAATCAGTGTGTGGACCCAAGATTCGATGAGGACGACGACGGCGACGACGATT